GCTGTTAAAATTAGCCTCTAGCACAAAATGTCACGAAAAATGGCCCTTCCTTATGCCAAGACATTTGTACAATACTTGGTCTAGCTGAGAGTAAGGCAAATACAAATATCTTTAAAAGACATGACTCAAGGATTCTAACATCAGCTACTCTTCACATCTTACAAGATTCCTCAATTTCCTCATAAAATATTTTGTTTATATAAAGTATGACAGCAAACATTTTTATTCAATTTAGGAAAACACTTTACTTAATCCGATCTCCAAAGCAACTCTTGAACAGACAGCTCGCCGTGAACAGATAGTCATTGCAATTCTCTGTAGAGTCATTTAGTTGCTGAAACTTTAAGCTATTTGCACTATAAGCCCTAACAATATAAAACTAAAAGGTTTACATTTTGATCTAGAAGGGAGTCATAGGGTGCCAGTCTCTTTATGGAAATTATGTCATGGTCACGCATTTCTAATGTAAATATTCTGAAGTTACAAATATTCAAATACAATTTCCTTAAGCTTTCAGTTATAAAGATTATTTAGTATATTTAATTTCTAGTTTAGCTTAGCCTTTCAGTGAAGGAAGCAGTGGGATTACTTGGTGAACTTTAAAATGTAAAGTAGCAATCTGAAGTATTTCAGTTGTTTTCACTTATATATCCATATGTGTTTTTAAATTTAAAGTATGCATTAAATGTACATATCCTATGATGAAACTGCTTGAAAATATCTACTCTTAAAGTAGCATTCAGTTAATTGGAATAACATTAATTGGTGATCCATGTTATTGCATACATTTATTCGCAACAAAAATACTAAATGACTATATAAATGAACTTTGCATTTGTTGAGACATGTGTTTTAGGTTTTGCATAGTTTTTTCAGAACAACAACAAAATGTAATACTGAATTAAACAAAATTTGTCTCTATGTTACTTACCAAAGTATCACTAAATTTTGGAGAAAAACCTACCAAATGTCTGCCTCTTGGCATCTTACCTCTTATTTGGATAAAAAGAGAAATTGATTTTAATGGTGTTTAGGACTGCAGGAAAGAACTAAGGGATCCTTAATTCGACATTCTAAATATAATATGAAAACTGCAGATGTAGTGTAGAAATTCTATCATTTGAGTAATGCCTTACTTTAGACCACAGCTAAATAACATGGGACTAATCCAGAAAGCTCACTATCTATATAATGCAGTCTGTAGGACATTTTAAAATGTATTTATGCTTTTGGAGACTACAAAATGTGAGAGTAAGAGAACAAAAAGATGTTAAACTCCTAGCAGATTAGGATTTATAGGAAGCACCATTTAGACCATAATGCTACCTTCCCCACATAAGTAAATAGGGAGCAAGCTGTATGTGTGTGCACTGGATATCAGGTTCTAGACTGTAGGCATAGATGATGAGAACTTTGTACAATTACTCTGCATTTTAAAACATGATATCTAGAACAAATAAATGGCATGGCATGACATGGCATGGCATGGCATTTGTTCTCACTACCAAAAATAAGGATAAACTGAAGCCATTGCCAACTCTAATTCTAATATATGTATTCTGACACCACAGCCCTATCTATGTTGTGTGCATTCAAGTTGCAAAGGATCAAACAGATTATTAATGTAAAGTGTTTGCTTTACAGCCTCATCAGGACCAGGTGGAGATTCCAACTACATATAGAGAGCTCACAGCAACTTAAAATTATTTTTGCATCAAAATGTATATATCCAACCTTAAAAGATCAGCAAATAGCATGAATCTATGGTAACAGCTCTCTGTTCAATAGCTTGTTTGAAAAACAGAAATATTTAACAAATTAGAATTTGTGAATTCATGAAAGAGATTCTAATAAATATGAATAAATGAGTAATGCTGGCCAATTTCAATGTTACACCATCAAGATCAATACATGTATGCAAAAAAGCTAGGATTAGAGATCTTTAGCACCCATGAAAATTGAGATATTTAGTCTCAAAACAAGTAATTTTATCTGGTATACAAGCGGTAAGTACAGACTAGAGTTTTAAATCAGAATTCAGAAGCTTTGGCTGCTCTGTGCCTTTATGTACTATGTGAGTATGATATGACCCTCTTCAAGAATGCCAAACTCATGCATGGTTTATGTTACAATCAGTGACTAAAGTCAATTTCTTAGACAGCCACTGCTTTTGGCATCTTGGGTTTCTTGTGATCTTTCCTTTGAGTTAAAGACTATGCTCTGAAACTGCAGAGGTTTTCACACACATTCTGAAATTAAGTATTATAATATTGGGACCAACATTTGCTTTGTTTTCTAGTGTACACTGTAATTTACACAAAAAATCTTAATTTTTTAAAAAATATTTATAATGCACCTGATGCTTTTTTTTAATATTACACTTGTTTGAGTCCAGAGACTACCTAACCTTCATTCCAGTTTACTGCTTTCTGCTTTCTGATCCAATCTGCTCTTGTTGCTTTTTACCATGTAGATAAAGTAAGCAAGAGTTTCTTTTTCATTCACTGGGATGTTCCTGAAGTGACGACTGACAGTCTGAAAGAACAAATAAAAAAATAATAAAAATATTTCCCTAGTAGAGGGAAAACACATATGGAAATCACAGAAGTCTTCACTGACTTACTTCTGCCAACTGAGCTTTATTGAGACCAGGTCTGGTTTGTAATTTGTAATGTCTTTTGTAACGGCGCAATGTGTTTACTTGAAGCTGAAACAAGTCAACCTAAAAAAATGGCACAATGAAAACATATATTTAGTTTAAACCACAATTTAAAAAAATCAAAGCTGTATAATGCTTTGGATTTAATAGCAAAAAGGTTCTTCACAATGTATACGAACTTGCACATGTTAAGTTTTCGCAGGACAGCCATGTGACCCCAGGAAAAAAATGCAGGTGTTTGAAGAAGTTGCAGGTGCAACACAAGTGCTGTCATGTGCTTCAAAATACTTTGTCTTCAAAAGCACTGCATTCCTAAAAATCTTATTCCATCTCAAAGCAATTTATATTAAGATATTTAAAAAATGTAATTAGGATATAAATGGAGAGAGGGGGAGAGAGTAATAATATAATCCCCAAAGAGCCTTGCAATCAACAGAATAGTCCCTTAGCTTTGCATAGACCCACTGATTAATCACTAACATACAAATCTAATTATGAGAATGTACTACCTTAGCAATTTATTTTGTGATACAATAAAATGCAGTTCCTGAATATGCATCATGGGAAATTTAAGACAAGTCTACTATGCAGCAAAAGCAACAGTATGGTAACCCTTGCTTCCTTGAAATTCTGAAGCATTTGCTTGTACTAGGAAATATGCAGGTGACTAAGTGTATGCTATGTTTTCAGCATCCTTTAAGTATTTTTGTTAAGCTTTTCTTCAGAACTTGAATGCTACAAACTTATAGAATGAAAACAGATGTTTGTACAATATGTGAATACCTTAAAAGGCTGTAGAGCTGAAAATAATATGGAAAAGGAAACCAGATTAGGTGATTCATAACATAAAAAAGCAAAGAAAGATGATTTGTAGAGGTATACAATATACAGCACGGCACGTGTATATAGTGAAAGTTACACACTGAGTAGTGAGAGAGATTCAGGACAGATAAAAGCAAGCACTTGTTCAAACTCTACATGTTTATTCAAGATAAAGCAATGACCATCAATGTGATAACATAGATTTCCTCTATAAAGGCAAGACAGAAACTGGCAGAAAGCTGCTGTGGCTGTTCTTGAGGTGATGATAACCAGTGGAAAGTTACAGCACTTCAGAGACAGTAACGAGCCTCTGCTGCATCCAAAGTTGCTCCATTCTCCAGATGTCTTAATTCAGGCCTGCAAGCCACTGAGTAGCTGATCTTTTTCCTTCCAACCCAAGATATGAGTAATGGAAGCAATAGGAAATTGTGACCAAAAATCTGGTGAGTCCTCCTGCCTCCTGCTTTATTCACAAGGTTCGTGATTTGGAAAAAAGATGTACTGCTCCATTCCCCCTAACGTGATTTATAAGTTTAAAATTGTATGAAATCAGGACGTTCTGAGCACTAATGAGTACAGTACAGTCTTAATAACTATATGTACTGTGCTGCTTTTAGGATGCGTGATTAAGATTAACAAAAGTATAAATAGAATCTGAATAGTAAATCCCAATTTCATTATGTAATTCACCTCTGGAACATCTATCTCATGCTCTGGAGAGTCGCCCCCATCATCACTGGTTTTCCTTTTCCTTTTATTTCGAACACTTTGAATGAAGTTCTTGTGGAAATCACATATATATAAGTGTCTTACCTAAAATTAAACAATAAAAATATTAAATAGCATAATGATTACAACAGCAAAGTGAACACTAAAGCAAGAGAAAATCTGTCAACTTTTACTTCTACAAACTTGAGCTCTTTTTTGAAAAAAAAAAAGTTTTCATCTGTTCATTTAAGAGCTATTGCATATCAAAACTTTGTGACAGAAGACCACAAGCCTGCTTAAACATCATAGGGGCTGCTTTCTTTTTTGAGTTTGTGATTCATTTGTGGAAGATAACTTCATTTCACTAGAACACCAACCCAAATTAGGTCTTCCAGCAACCCTCTTTTTGCTCACCTGTTTTCTTCAGGTTTCATAGTAAAGAGGTTATTTTAAAAATGGACTTATTGGAGTAATAAGCAAATATGTTTAGAACTAAAGCTGTGGCCTACAATGTGAAACTGTACATGGAAAAGCTGAATTTAGTTTTTAACGTCAAATTAAAGTCCTTCCGCTTATAGCTATGTGTGGCTCATGCAGGTCTGTGTGCACAAATAATACATGTGCATCATGATATTAAAATGCAAACTCTGCCCTTTTTGCACTTGTGCAATGATACCCACACAAGTAAGAAAGAGGAAGAGAATACATTGTGACATCACGAAATATGTTTTGTCATTTTCAAGTAGTGTCAGCTTGCTGTGGACAACCTTGCTAATAATCATGAAAACCCTGAAAACCAACTTTCAAATAATGAAAAAACTATGTGTGTTAAAATTTAATAGAGTTAACAAGGCACGAAACAAAACTAGTGAGGAACTGTTATGAAAGAAAATAAATTTAGGGTGGCAGAAAAAGTTGGGGGTGACAGAATTGCTGTACGGTACTGAACTGTGACAAATTCCAGTTATCATTAGCTCTAAGCTTGGCCACTGCCTATAAGCTGTCAAGAGCTGTTTGATTATGGTGGGGTAGAAGTTAATAAATAAGCCAAGCAACACTCTCCAGGGATCACTGTCCATGGATAAAGGAAAATCTTGCTCCTGATTTATACTAAGTATCTCTTTTTCTCTTATACATGTATATATACTTACGAATTTGGCAGAATATTGTGGAATTATAAGATGGTAGTTATTGTATGCCTGAAAGGGCTTAAATGATGCAGCAGAAACTTTTAGCCACAAAACGTATTTCCAGAGCTTCATAGTTAGTATACTAATGAAACGTATCTGATGGGGTGAGTACCAGCCTAATAAAATAACTTATTTAGTAGACAATTAACTGTAACAATTTTGGATGCATTTCTCTTCAGAAAACTAACCCACAATTAACTTTTTGTACCATTAGTTTCACTTTTTTTTTTTTGCAATAATTGTGCTGATTACCTACAGAAACATTGCTGAAGGAAATGAAATCATTAAAGTTTATTCTTCTCATTATATGTGATTCTTGATAAAGTTATTAAGACTTATAGATTAATCTAACAGGTAATAGGAGCAGTCTGACCAAACATCCACCTGTACTATATGGATTCTTTATGTGGTATGAAAGAAAAACTGCCTGAAAGTAACTATAATCTCAATGCAAATTTTAATTTAGAATGAAGTACATTAAAAGAGACCCAGCAAAAATTTTCCTTCCACTTCTCCTTTAATTTCTCAATGAAAAGGGGTTTAATCTGGATTATGCGTTATAGACAAATACTAAAATATAATCCGGACAAATGCAAACAATCGTTACTACCACATGCAATGTCTCAGTTTAAAATGCCCAGTGTGACAGATGGCACTTAACAACAACAGTAATTGGTTGGCAGCACTTTAATTTGCCGGATGCCAGCCAAACATGCTTGCAGTTTTTCAGTTTGACTGCAGTTCACTGCTGGAGATTTGACAGTTTCTAAGTGAATTATTTCAAGACTACTAGCAGTGAAGTATAGTAATGAAGGTGTCAAAAGGGACTCAGGTTTTAGTTTACCCTTAGCCACAGAGGTATACCGAGTGACTGGGCCAGTCGTTGTCTTTCAGCCCAATCTATCTCGCAGGATTGTTGTGAGGAAAAATGGAAGGATTACTGTGTACATTACCCTGAGCTACTGAATGAAAAGCAGCATATATATCTAATAAATAAATAAATAAAACAACATTCTGAACTCTTTAGGTGGACATTTTGTTGGTTAACTTACAAATACATATATGAACTTTTAAAATTAATGTTAGCACCTGTAATATCAGTTAGCAGATACATCATTATATGGCTGTTGATTAAAAAGTGAAAGTCTTTTCTTAAACTATAAAAATAACAGGTCTTTAACACACTTCTAGTATATTTGTATATATAATGATACGGACATTGTCCCCAAAAAATCAGAATTGGGTACAGCTTTTCTTTATTTTAGCTACTTACTACAATCTTGCCTTTCCCAAGATTTTCCTGATGTATCACACTTTATAAACTTCACATTATGAAAGTAAAGACTCCCTTATGTGGAGTTCAACACAGCTACAATTCATATAGTTTTCTTCCAACAATATGAAGCTTGTGTTCCCTTCTCCCCACTGTCTCTTTTTACTATCATACAGCCCTAGAATTTCCTGATAGTCTCCCATCCAAATATTTGTTGACCTCAGTCCTGTTTAACCTTGTCAAAACCAGGTAGATGCTGCCATCTGCTGCAGCTTTGTGCTATTTTTGTCACATCAGTTCTGAATGAAGAGAGATTAACTTTGTTACCATTGCTATTAGCTTTGCATGTAAGATAATATTTCACTCTGTGAAAAATAAAAGAGTTCCCTAAAAAGATAATAGGGCCGAGTATGCTGTTTCAGGCACACTTCTATTTACACTGACTTCTTTACTAGGAACATAAACCAATATACTTTCATTTTAATTCAGTATCATTCAGATTGTTCCTATCAATTTTTCTCAGGATAGTAGAATATTGCTTTGCTGGTGCTGGAATTCACAGCAGCCTTTAGAATTCAACAAAAAGCCCCTCTAAAATGTTAGGACCCAGCAGTACAGCAGCACTACTATAACACAAGATAGGCACGGTGCACAACTGCAGATGCAGAGAAGCATGCAAGGCGAAAGCCTCGGTGGTTGTCACTTACACTTTTGTCAATATCCAGTTTCAGCTTTTTCTGAGAGATGCTCTTCTGGATCCTCTTGCTGAAGGAGGCATTACCAGCCGGGCGGACACAACGATCCCCGTCGTCGATGAGGCAACAACTTTGTCCGTAAAAAGGGGTGGTGGGAGGACCATCCCGGCTGTCTTCCTCAGTGCTGAAACCATTCATCGCAGCCTCCCACCAGCCTCGGGCGACGAAAGAGGCAGCGCCGGGACAAACTTCGCCAGCCTTTGCGCTCGCAAACCTCCTCCCCTCCCTCCCTCTCCGCCCGGCCTATCCCACCCTGGGCTCCGCGGGCTTTAAGGAAACATCTGGAGGGGGCCGCCAAACCGGCTGCCAAAGCGACGCTCGCCTCGCCTCTCCCGCCGCGTCCACCGGGCGGCCTTCCC